AATATCTTGAGTTCCTTGAAAATCAAATAAAAACTCTCTTTTGCATATCATGCATCATTCTACATTTCACTTTCAAAGGTTATTTCCAAGTCTTATTGTTCCTTTGGTCTCACCAGTACATCACTCGCGCTAAGAGGAAGATGGAAAAATATTAAGCAAGAGATTTCTGAACTCCGCGGAGAGATGACTAATTTGGAAGTTAGTATGGAGCACTCAACTGGTTTGGTTGAAATTTTGGTTGCCGCCCAAGTCAATCCTTCTAGGAAGGAAGAAGCGATGGAAAAGGTCTTCACTGAAACTCTGAAAAAATTCTTTCATGAGAAGATGATAACTAATGCACCTAGTGACTTTCTTGACAAGGTGAATGTGTGAGTACATCTAGAAGAAGATGTACGAAAGGGATGTTTATATGAAGATGGTGGCTCAGCTAGTGGTGTGAAGAAGTTTGGTGATAACTTTTCCAAGAAGAGATCCAGAAGAAGAAATAATCATCGCCAGAATCATCCTTGTGTTCAATTTACCTTCTGTAGCTCCAGTTTATCAACATAATCAGCAAGTTCCTAATCAGAGGAAAACTTAATTTGATCCAATTCCAATGACCTATACGGAGTTGTTTCCAGTCCTGATGCAGAGGAGTTTGGTTCAGACTCGACTTCCACCGAAGATTCCTGGGAAGATGCCTTGGTATTACAAAATTGATTTAACTTGTGCCTTTCATCAGGTAGTTCATGGGCATAACATTGAACATTGTTATTCATCGAAAGCTGAAGTTCAGAAGTTGGTCAGAAGTGGTATCTTGTCATTCAAGGACGTTGGTCTTGAAGTTCAAATCAAGAATTTGTCGAAGATTAAACATGATTGATGGTTACTATGAGTTTTGAAGGATGTTTTCAGCAGCTCAAGTCCAGATGGAGAGAGTCTTCTCAGTTTATTATCATTTTTACTGCTTTCCCTTGTAATATTTCTTGTTTGTTAAAGCTTTGTTTGCATGTAAGAACTTGTTTACATTTGAATGATTATCTTAATACAATGACTATGTTTGTCTTGAAGAAATTCATTCATTTCACTCATATTTGTTTTCAAATTTTAAATTGTTTTTTTCATTATGATACCAACTTGTTGCCCATTCTCTTGCCTAGGCAGAGATTGAAGGGAGGATGATGAATGAAAAATGCAAAAAATCTCGGTTGTATGCTTTTGAATAAAATCATGTTGATGATGTACAAGCATTGTTTCAAATCCCTAAACACCAAAGATATAAGGAAGATAATCCCTTACTAACCCCTTTTGAGCTTTGAAGTAGGAGTTTCATTTCTACACGAAAAAACCCTCAATTTTAACTTGGGGCAGGGTAATGCTCAGTTAATCTGATTGAGTATTCAAATCTTATCAAGAATACGCATCCAAGGGTACAACAATGATTATCCTTCAAAAGGTTGAGGAAAGTCAAAATCGTAATGGTCAATCATCGCCTATCATTAGAGAACATCAAAAGAAAACAATATCCCAATGGGCAGCTCTCACACATCAGGAGACCAACAAATGACGATACCACAACAGTTATCCCTCATCTACCAAGAAATAAGGCAGTCACAATTCTTCCAACAAGTTAAAAAGGACTCGAAGTCACACAACGTGTTCGATAGGAAAGAAAAGGTAATATGAATAAAAAATGACAAAAAGGAAAAAGACAAAAAAAACCCCGCTAAGTCGAAAACTTGAAGAAAAAAACAAGTCGCTTAGGAAAAAGTCAGGGCATCCCGCTGGACTATCAATTCAAAAGAATTAGTTCAGGAAAAAGTTAGGGAAAAAAGAAATTGCAAAGAAAGGATTACAAATAAAAATCCTCAAAAAATAACATAGTCGTGTGATAAAAGTGAGTGATTGTCGTGTCCAAAGAATGTCAGTGGTTCACCAACCATAAACTAATTCCTCTTGAGAGATGAGTGCTCGTATCAAATTAACTGAATATAGAATTGAAGAACATCATGAAGGAGTGGGCACCAAATAAATTTTGAGCCTTAAAATCTTTTTTTCTAAAAAAAACCGTGAACCAGGTCACATTACAACCCTTAAAAGTCCTAATTGAGACAAAGTTTATTTCAAAAGCATACTCCAACGAGATGGTGTTTCCTGACTCCCATAAGTTTGGCTAAAATATTTGTGTTGGTATCATATGCTTTCGTTATCTTTCATACAAAAATAAATGATGCACTAATTCACAAGTTTTGCCGTATTTTTTCAAAAAAAAATCTTCAATACTTACATAATTGTTGCATTAGAATTTTCATTCTTAGAATAAACTTTTTCTACTTGTAAAACATTTGCTTAATATCAAGGAAGTTTACATATAAGCGTCAGTGATGAGTTAATCTTTAGGCCTAAAACTCTATGGAGTAATTGGTGAATCATTTCAAGAATGATCATATCCAGGGGCATGTCGCCTGAAGACCTTCAGCATGAACAAGTGGTTGTCTTCATAGTTCGTTTACCCTCATGGGGAAAATTTGAAGATTCTACTGTGCCAAATATAGTCAATATGGGGCAGTCACGTCATGATTCGACGAATCTCTCTAAGAGTTTGAAGACGCTAGAGCATTTGAATGTCAGGTATTTTGTAAAATACTAAATTTGAAAAATACATTCTCTTCAATACATATTCATTAACACATTCAATATATGATTCATAATTCTCATCAATACACATTCAATAAATAGTTCATTATTCTAAATCTTCATGTTCGTCATCCATATCATTTTAAATACTTTTAAATACACATATAAAATATATTCTACTTTTAATATATAATTTATTTAAAAATGAATTAGTCTATTTAAAAAATATATATATAATATATTTTGTTTTTTATTATATTTTATTTATAATTATATTTTTAAAATTAATAATGTTTTTTATACTTAACAATTATATTCATGTTAATGATTTTTATTAAAATATAATTTTTATATTAAGATAAATATATATTATGTTTTGACTGTTGAATTCTATTTTGACTATAAAAATAAAATACATAAAAAAATATTTTTATTAAAAACTATATGATAAAAATTATATAGTAAAAACTATTTTAATATATATATATATATATATATATATATATATATATATATATATATATATATATATATATATATATATATATATATATATATATATATATATATATATATATATATATATATATATATATATATATATATATATATATATATATATATATATATAAAAGTTTTAAAAAAACTAAATCAACAACCAACAATCCAAATAATATATACATATATAACAAATTTAAAATATAATTAAATAATATAAATACCTATTATTCAATCTCCTTCAACTTCTTGTACAATCCTTTTGTTGAATCTTTCTTCTAATTTCTTCAATTTCTAAACAAAAAAAAAACATAAATCAACATATCATAAAACAGTATTAGCCTAAAACGAAAATATTAAAAATAAATTGAATAAATATTATAACTTTGTTATAACAGAAATTTGGAATTGATTATGAAATTTGGAATTGATTATTTGGAATTGACAATGGAGGGAAGAAGACAATAGAGAGAAAGAAGAAAAGAGGGATGAATAATGGAGAAACGCAAATGGTTTCTAGAAAGAGAGAACGTGTGTTTATTAATCAATCAACGACATGAATTTCATGTCGCAGTCTTGCCGCGTGAGATTCACGTCGCAACTCTCAACGTTATAATTTAAATATTAACCAATCAGCGACGTGAATATCACGTCGCAACCCCTACAACGATTATAGTTTTATTCACTCAACTTGCACATTTCAGAATAACATCTTGTCAAAAGACGGAGTTTTTCCTCTTAAATTTTTGCGACGTGTTTAACACGTCAGAATAATTTTTTTTGAAATATTCAAACTTCCCTTATCAAAACGCCTGAAGCTTAACATTTTTTTATTCAACTTTTTATGTTGTGACGTGTTTTCTACGTCGCAACTTTTTTTTATAAAAAAAATATTGACTGGCGCAGACCAAACTTTACTTTTATCATTTAAATGTTAAAATAATTTAGTGACGTGATTATCACATCACAACTACTAAATTTTATTGATATAATAATCACATCACTAAAACACGTCGCTAGAGAGAATATTTCTTCTAATAATAAAATCATGAGATCATGTAGATGACTATATGTTTCCCACACACTTGGCAAGGCAAAAAAAGTCATGACTTATGAGTTAAATATGGTTATGAAATAGATAACTAGGCAAAGCCCAACTCATCAAATCAAATATATATAAAACGGTTACCCTCTTATAACACAAAAAACAAAATAGTTTTGAGGATGTTTTGAACTTAATCTTTTATTTGAAATGGTGTTTTAAATTTAATGTAATGCAACATATTATAAAATTAAATAATAAATATAAATGAAACTTATGTTTTTTTAATTGAGCTGATATAGAAAACGAATATAATATTCAATTCAACTTTTTTTTAAATAACTAACAGTTGAACATTTTTAAATAAAAATACTCTTCTACAATATAGATATTAAGAAAAAAAGAAAACAAAACAATTAAATGAAAACCAACATTTTGTTAGTTCATATTAAAATAGTACTGTATTTTTTTTTATCTAGATATTATTTTGTTTATAATAAATCATTTATCTATTTTTATAAATAATATTTATAATTTTTATTTATAAAATATATTTTGTATTATTTTTATAACATGAAAGGTCTCAATTTTATTTTCTCCTTAAGCCTTCAAATATATTGGGCTTACCATGATTGAAAAAATTTTAAAAAAAATTGAAAACATATAACTCCTTGTATTTTATTCATTTTGGATAAAAGTTTCATCCATAATAATTATCATTATACAATCAACATGAAAATCTTAACAAAATTTACTCCAAAATTACACTTAAATTCTTACACACCTTTAAAATAAACAACTCATTATACAACAATAGTAAAGTGCCACCATTACAACACTTTCATCATAGTTGAGCCAAACGATTGATATCAATAGGATAAGCATCTGATCCAGATTGAGCATTATAAGCTCTCTTACCAATTATAGTATTGCCAACCTCAGTTGGATGAAATGCATCCCAAAATAGATATTCATTTCTATTACTACATGGAGTTTGAAAGGGAAGACATGTAATTTGACCATTGTTTCTTCCTACACCACAACACCCCGCATTTGTAACACTTATTCCTGCAAAATCGACAAGAAAAAAATGAGCAAAAAAAAAAAATTGTCAAATAACTATAAATTTCATCTCATTAGGTCAATTTAATTGGTAGTTGTGCACGATCATTTAATTCAAACAAATAAAAATATTATTCAGATATATTTATATATTTAATAACTCGAGATTCTAACTTATATTTTAGGAAGAAAATGATTACCGAATGACGATGGATTGCTTATGACGTTTTGAAAAATACCATAAACATTTACATAAATGAACTTTGCATCATTAAGCTCATTGTTGAGTTGATTAACAAGAGATTTTAATCCATTGTTGAATAATTGATTTGCAGAATTGATTCTTTCAACACATGTTGTACCATCTGGGCTGTTTTGGGCTAACTCATTAGGGCTGCAACCTATTTGTCCAATCCCAAATAAAGCCATTTTCCTTGCTCCATAATTATACAAAATCTAAATCAAAAAAACAAAACAATAACAATTAATTTTTTAATATAATTACATCAATTATCACAATATTAATGATGAGCATATAATGAAAACTTATTGAATGAGAAGAAAGAGTAATGAATTACCCTAAGTTGTTGAGCATATGCTTGAATAAGAACATCAGCATATTGTTGTGGTGTGAACTGTGTACCACTAGGGTAAGCAGGCATGAAATAATTATTAAGATAATCATTACTTCCCAATCCAATTGAATAAATGCATTTGCTAAGATAATTTGCAGCTGAGTCCTCATCTCCAAGCAAATTTACAACTTCAGACACTGTCTTTTGGTAATTTTGTACTTGCCCACTAAAACTAATACGATCTCCCTACAAAGTATACAAATATATAAACTAATTTTAATTTTAAAATTTTTTGTCTTGCAAAAAAGGGTTATTTATTTAGTATATAGAAAAATGGTACCAATTGTTGGCCAGTTTCTTCTCTAATTCCAGCGGCTGCAGAAGCATAATTGACTCCTCTGAGTATTTCTTGATCTCTGGCAGTTGAATAGGGAGATATGTATCCGTCAAATCCCAAGAGCTCAGCTGTTAAATTTTAATATAAAATTATTTTTATATATCACTACCAATATATATTAATCATATAACAAATCCTCAAAATAAAAGATAATTCTAAAAATTAAAATTAAAAAAAATAATAGAAATATCACCATTCAAACCTTTATATAGGACTTAGAGTAATTTGATGCTTTTTGGTTCCTATAATATATATTTTTTAATAAATTATTAATGGAATATCTACGTGTTTATATAAATATTAGTATATTACGCGTAATTGTGATTAATTAATTATTATTTAATTCATTTAAATGTTTTTACATTGCCATCAATATACATTAAACATATATTATTTTTTTTAAAAATCTCGTGGACATTTTTAAAAAATCATCTCGGATCGATTGATTTAATACAAATTGACTGTTGAATCAAATATATAATCAAATTAATAAAAATCGAAGTGAATCAGTATTAAAAAAATCGACGAATTGGAGATTTTTACAAATTGAAATATCAAAGTTTATTTTTCTTTTTTTACTTTTTTTTAAAGTTAAATAACAACCTTTTATAATTATTATTCTTAAAAAGAAACTAACAAATCCTCAAAATGATAGATAGATAATATTCAAAAGTAAATACTAAATAGAAATATCACGATCCAAACCTTTATATATTTAATGAAAAAAATTAAATATAAAAAAAATCAAAAATATAGAAAATCAATTTAATTAATAGTATTCGATTTAAATTAATACAATTTTATTTTTGAAAAAAATTGCATAAATATCAAATCTGATATCTAATTTAATATCAAGACCAAAATAAACTATAAATTTTTTCAATGTTGGTAAGATCTTAATAGAATTTAAAAATAGTTCATATAAACCAACACTTTTTATTTTATAAATTGGTTTTTCAAAAATGATTAATTTAAACTTTAATATAATATTAGAGTCTATCGATTAAATCATAGATCGTTAGTCACACTCCAAATCTAAAAAATATGTTAGACATAAGATACTCCAAATCTAAAAAATATGTTAGACATAAGATAGTGTGTTAGAAAATTTCCAAATCTCGCATTAATTATACATAAAATTTAAAATAATTTATATAAAATGATACTACTCACCTTTCATATCAATTTTATAAAAATAATTTAGGCCAAACTATTAGATTTCATTTTAATCGGTTGATTCAATCAATAACTTTCTATTTGGACCACCAACCTTTTAATTTAAGATAAGAAATAAAAGTGCATACATTTAATTTATTGGTGTTGACTATATTAGTGAGAATTTTTCCGACACAAAATAAATGTCTTGATCAAAGTATGACATGCCATATGAGTGTCTTAAATTGCATACTAAATGAAATACACCAAACTCCATGTGCTTGAAAGCTAGAATGAAGTATTACTTGAAAAGAAATAGAGACAAAAATAATAGTCTTTATCCTCATATTTGTTTCACTAACTTATATAGATATCATGCCGTATTACACATCGATCCAAATTTTGTTATGAATAAAATATTTCTAAATAGAGTCATGTTAAATCTTTATCTCCTAAAACATGATTAAATATAAGAGGAATATTTAAATAAAATATGATAGATATAATTTTATTATTTTATAATAAAAATATAACAAACTTACTTAAATATCATTTATAGAATAAAATTAAAAAAATTATATAATCACACATAATAAATTATATTTAAGTTTTGTTCTAAATATAATCTATAATTATTTTATTAGAGTTGAATCTAAATGTAATTTTCAAAACCCTAAACCATATATATATATATATATATATATATATATATATATATATATATATATATATATATATATATATATATATATATATATATATATATATATATATATATATATATATATATATATATATGACTTTAGAATTTAATTAACAAAAGAAACTTAAATAAGAACAAACTAATTTTACTTAAATTGAACTTACCAATAACATCAACAGTAGTTTTTCCATTGGAGAACCTTCCTGTTGGACCACCTTCAAAGTCAATCCCATAAGGAAGATAATTAGCTTTTGCCAAAGAATTGAGGTTATTATTGTTTCCATCATCTACCAAAGAGTCACCAAATATGAAGTAACAAGGTACTTGAGGATCAGCTTGAACCTCACTAATACACCACAAGCCTAAAACCAACACTAGTACAAATAAAGTCATAGTGAAGAGTTTTAGGGATGGCATTGAAGAAAAAAAGTAACAAAAAGATTATAATGTGAGTATTATAGTGTGAGGTGTGTGTGTTTAAGTGAATGAGTATATGAAACTCATGAAACGAGGAAAACAATTATATAGTTGTGTAAAGGAAGCAAATAATGACAAGCTTTTTAGCTTTTACAGTTGGGGATACATATATTTGTTAGGAACATTAAATTCACTATGACATTGTGACAAAATGAGTGACATTGTCGGTGATAATGCAAAACATTTTATTTTTACATAAATATTTAGTAAAATTGCATTTTAATTTTAAAATTTTTTAGGGAGAAATTTCGAGGGAGTATTTTTATTTGGGACATATCTTTATGAGAGATACATTATATATTCACCAAAAATCTTAAGGTTTTTGATTGATTTATAGTGTGTCTCTCATAAAAAGGTGTGTCAAATAAAAAATGCTCCATCGGAATTGCCCCTTGCAGTGGTATCATAAAGCTTTGATTTTGAGTTAGGGACCGACGTACTTGTATCAAAATACTTTCTGCAGATGGTGGGTAGAAGTTATTTCGTTGAAGAGTGTCAACAGTGGTACAAGTGTATGTGTAAGAGATTTCTTTCACATGAGGGCACTACGCCAAAAAGGCTTTTAGACAACGCACTTTAGACAGCGCTTTTATACAAAAGCGCTGCTATAAGCAAATTAAAAAATAAAACACGGAAACTGTATACGAAAATAAATAAAAGCGCTGCTAAAAGGTCGACCTTAGACAACGCTTCTGAAAAGCGCTGCTAAAAGGGTTGCTTTAGAAAGTGCTTAAAAAAAGCGCTGGTAAAGGACCACATTAGCCAGCGCTTCTCCGAAGCGTTGTCTAAAGTCATATAAATTTTAAAAAATAATTTAAAAGCGCTGCTAAAGGCCCATATTAGCCAGCGCTTCTCAAAAGCGCTGTCTAAAGTCATATAATTAGAATTAAAAAGTAAAATCCCTCCAGAACTCGTTTCTATTCACAGACCTCCAGAAACGTAACACTTTTCTCTTCTTCCTTCCGTCGTTCCTCCGATACCGCCCTCCTTCCGCCGTCCCTCTAACCGCCCTCCTTCCGCCGTTCCTCCGACCGCATTCCTCCTGTCGTCCCTCAGTTGCCGTCCTCCACCGTATCTCAAGGTAAGTTTTCCTTGTCTCTATCTCTACTACTGTTATGGTTCTTTGGGTATTTGGTTTTTTGGACTCTCTTATAGGACTTCTATCAACCATTTCACCATTTGGTTTTGTTAAGCTTGGTTAAACATTTCCTTCTACATTTTTAGGTATTCATTTCCTTCTACATTTCTAGATATTTCCTTCTACATTTCTGCAAAACCCGTGACCTATTTATAAGTTCGATTAGTTAGTGAATTAAACTTTGTTAGGATTTCTGGTTTTATTTAGTTCCGATGAAGGTTGCATGTTGATGTCATGTTTATTCGTGTATAAACTAACCGAGAAACTATTGGGGCTACCCGTTTTGTTTTATTTGTTAGAGTTTCGGGTTTGAATTCAATGTTGTGTCACTTTGTATGAGAAAATTTGAAAGAGATTTTGATGCATGTTGTTATGAATTCAAGGTTTAATTCGGTTACGGTAACACTTTGTTGCGATAGTTTGATTTCATTTTGGTTTCGATGACGGCTTGGTGTCTATGCCGCGTTATTCGCATAAGATATAGTCGAGAACCATTCATAGGACAACAATTCATGTTTTACCGTTGCTTAGAGATTCAGACAACTTTATTGTGTAATTTGATTTAAATTCGAAAGTTCGCATGATTATAACATCGGGTGTTTTCCCATTTTGTTTCGAATCTTCTTGAATTGAAACTATCGAGCATTCATAACTTGTTATAGTTGCTGCCCAGTTTTTGTTTAATCGAATAAATCATGTGTTGAAATAAATTTTCCATGTTCTGATTCTTAAATTATGTAACAAAATGAGTTCTGATTTTATTTTCATTTGAGGATTGGTATCGTGATTTTATTCTCAACTCTATGCATTTTCAATGTTAGTGTGCTTACTAAAAAGTTGGTTAAGACTTTTTTGTATTGGTGTAGTTAGTCGAAGACCATCACCAACTTGAAGAACATCAAAGCAACATCATCCGTCGTTGGCACCAATAACCCCTCTTCTTTCTTTGGTAAGTCAAGTTCAAATTCAACATTACCGACTCCTTTATTTATTTACTATCTGTTTCCTAAATTATAAAATATTCTATCTATATCAATTAAAAAACATAATTAATTTTATATAAAAATAATTAATTTTAGTCTATATCGATCTAGAACTAATCCGATTAAATCTTACGAAATATTTCTAAAATTTTGTATTAATATTCTTTTTGCGTCGCGAAAGTGTTTTTATTTATGTTCTTTTGAAATAGTTGCGTGAGTAATTATAGTGTTTTTGTTTACCTTAATTAGTAGTAATTCCATGGATAAAAAATGGATGACTACCGATCGATTGTCAAAAGAGTACAAGAATGGGGTATTGTAATTCGTTAAGTTTGTTGTTGAACACGTCAAAGACTCCATTCTAATGAAATGTCCTTGCTTGGGTTGTTGTTATGTGGGTCGGGTTGACGCAGATGAGTTAAAATCGCATTTACTGACGCATGGGATTGATCGAAGTTATAAGTGTTGGATATATCATGGTGAGAAAATTAACGAGAATGTTGAACCAGGGGAGAAAATTAATATGACGACCTATGCTTCAGACGATAATGACACAGATACATACGATTGTGATCGAGTCACAGAGATTGCAGAAGCACTTGAAGAAGATCTTAAGGATTGTTCCAAAATATTTGAGAGGTTGGTAAGCGATGTAGAGAAACCATTGTATAAAGGTTGCACTAAATTCACAAGACTGTCTGCGGTATTAAAATTGTACAACCTAAAAGCGGGCAATGGATTCCGCGGAAAACCGAGTCAGTTGCATCAATAAAAGAGGTACATCACAATTATATGATATTTATGCATGAAAAATGTTAATTCGTGATCTTATACTTCACATAACTAATTATATGATCTTTAGATTCATGCTAAAGAGAATGAAGATGTCGGTAGGGGTAAGAATCCTGAAATTGACAATATTTCCATACAAAAATGGTTGTTGCTAAGAAGACCGCGGCTAAAAAAAACCTACTTCCAAGTTTAGGTCGTGCCTTGGGACATTTTTAAAAATGTCATATATTCCGGAAGGAAATACTCGTCTTCAACCTATGGAGTTTGGTATTTTTGGTTTTGAATATTCCGAAACAATTGGTATAGAGGATTTTGATCAAGTTTTACAACATATACAATTACGCCTCGGTGTTGTTAATACATACATAAGGTATATCCGATCTACTTTGTCTAATTAATTGATCAATTCATTTACTCATTTCAAATGTTAATGAGGTCTTTTATTTAAGGTTTTTGTATGAAAAATTGATGCGCCCTAGTGGATTGGAGCAAAGATTCGCTTTCTTATCTCCTTACAATACCAACTTAGGGTTAATCATGCATAAACCAGATGAATTAATTGCGTATGTACTCGAGCACTTTATGGCCGACGAAGATACCGAAAAGTTTTCTTTTTACCGCTTAATATCGGTAACGTGTTATATTTTCATTCTGAATTCATTTATTATAATTTTTCATATTTTGACATTGTGTAGAAAGTTTTCATCTGACATTTATTTAATCTTACAGTGGACATTGGTTATTGGTCGCGATTAATCCTATCAGAGAAGTTGTATATTATCTGGATTTTTTACGCAATGATCTATGTACATACCAAGATATGAAGAATATGGTTGATACGTAAGTGAGATTGTTCTAAATATTCATGTGTATATTTATTTATTTATTTATGTGAATTATTCTAAATATGCGTTTATTTTTTATTAGCATTATACAAGTTTTTCGAGCATAAAGAGGTATTCAAGTGCCAAAGAGTAAAGCCAACAACATTACATGGATTATAGTGGAGGTATATTAATTAATTATCACAATTTTGATTATATTAATAGAGATGATACTTGATAAAACTTAGGCCTTATCCATATTTTCTTTTCATGTGTAGTGTCCCCGGAAGCGTAACGAAGTAGATTGCGGTTTTTACATGTTGAGGTTTATGAGAGAAATCCTTCTTTTGGATCGAATCGAGATTCTATCTAAGGTATGAATTTCTAACTTAGGAGTTATTTTAATATTTAACACATATTTCTCATATAATTAAATAGTGTTAACTTAAACATACTATGTTATATTATTATTTAGTACTTTGATGAATTCAAGTCTGCTTATTACTCAAGTTCTCAGTTGGATGAACTTAAGGAGGATTGATGTCAATACATTATTGAGACGAAAGTTGTATAAGGTATATTGTAATCTTGCTTTAATTGATGAGAATTTTGAGTATATTCAAGTGTTGCAATTTTGTTGTTGTTTGTCATGTGGTAAATTATATATATTTTGTTTGTATCATGGTATGAATTATGATATTTTGGTGTTGTTTCAGGTTATATGTGCATATGTAGAAGATAGAGATGAATAGATTTTGTCATGCTATATAATGGTGTTGTTTTGGTGTTGTTTTTTTTATAAAAGTATATATGTACAAGAGTAATAGAATACATAAGTACATTAGCGCAAATGTATAGTATCTTTTGGTATTATTTTTTATTGGATTGAAGCTCCAATATTAGTGAAAATCTGGTGAAATTTATAATGGTATATACAAGTGCAAAATATGGTGAAAGCCTGGTGCAAATATGGTTAAAATCTGTACATATAAAATTGTATATATCAAACAACACTCTTTTTTTTTTCAAAAATGTTATATAAAAAATTTCGTGGACATTAGACAACGCTTTAAAAAACGATGTCTAAAGCCCCACTTTAGACAACACTTTGACTGTAAAAGCGTTGCTTAAAGGGACTCTATTTTTTATAATTTTTTTTGTTTTAGAAAAAACGCTGGCTAAAGGGGGCCTTTAGCAGCGCTT